TTTTGTGACCATGAGGCTCTCAAGAGATACATGTTGGGGGCGCCAAACGGCAATTCTAGCTGAGACGTCCCACCAAAATCGGCGCGAACGGGCTCGTGAGATCAGCCAGGGTGGCTCCCCCTTGGGGCTCCCAAATGATGCCCCTGGCAGCGTTTTGTGACCATGAGGCTCTCAAGAGAGACATGTTGGGGAGGCCAAACGGCAATTTTAGCTGAGACGTCCCACCAAAATCGGCGCGAACGGGCTCGTGATATCAGCCAGGGTGGCTCCCCCTTGGGGCTCCCAAATGATGCCCCTGGCAGCGTTTTGTGATCATGAGAGAGTGTGAGTGTGAGTGAATCTTATTACTCCATAGGCTGTCTTATCTTATCTATTATCCTACCTTGTCATATATCTTATCTTACCTTATCATATATTGTGCTATCTTATCTCATCTTGTAGTATCTTATCTTGTCTTGTCTTATCTGGTGATTATCATTGAAAGGAGGGAGGCGCGAGCGGGAGGAAGGAGGAGCAGTGGGAGGCGTCAGAGTAATAACAAGAACCCCAATCCTTAGGATATGGGGAAAAAAACTGCGGGTCAAAAAACACCAATTTACATTATACAAAAAAGCTTTGGGAAAACGCACACTCTGTGTTTCGAGGAAAGGAAAAAAACAAAACAACAACAACAACAACAACAACAACAACAACAACAACAACAACAACAACAACAACAACAACAACAACAACAACAACAACAACAACAACAACAACAAAAAAACGACTACACGCAAGTGCGATCCTGGGCAAGAGTGGCCTCCGGTGCGCGGCTTCAGGGGGCCGGCGGGCAGGCCAGATCCGACCGCGAGGCCAGTGTTCGGGGGGACCCCAGTGAGCCCGCACGCAAGGTTACTCTGGCGAAGTCTCGCTCTTCGGGGGCGTCCAACTTTGGAGGGCAAAATATCCACCCCCATATTGACCACCCACCCCGACACGCGAAGCCGTTTACTAAACGCCCCCATTGAAGGACTCGAACAGGGCAGGGCTGTTTAGTAAACGCCCAAGGCCGGATAGTAAACGCCAATTGGCCAATTGTCTGGTCCGGGTGGTTTTTCCTCCCTTGAAATTCGGACGCCCGAAACGAGTGCAGAACAAAAACGGTGCAATGCCCAACAACAAATGTTGTTCCAAACCAACAGCGGCCACTATTGGGCAGGCGGCCGTCTGTCTCAAATGGACACAGGCCGCGGCGGCGCGGACAGTGAGTTTTGTTCGAAATGAATAGGAACTGTTGTTGGGCATCGTACCCATTCTTTCCGTACCCATGTCGATCGTGCCGATCCAAACGGGGGGCGTCCAAGAGAAGGGGCGGGGCGCAAACCCTGGCCGGCTGCACGTGCACGGCCCAGGGGGGGCCTGGGGACGTGTTGAGACAAGACGAGGCGCCGTGAGATCCGAGGAGAGATCGTGGCCCCCGCCAGGAGGTCCATCCCCCCCCCGTCCTGGCCGCCCCCGAACTCCTGCGCGCAGCGGACCGCCCGGGACCAGATCCTTCACCAACGCGGCGCCGGGGACGGGCACCCACAGGAGAGGGCGGCCGAGAACGGCCTGCAGCCCCAGGACTCAGAACCCCTTCTCACTCTGCAGCTAAGACGCGGCCAGGACGAGGACGAATGCGAGCGAGGATAGATCGAGAATCTCTGAGGTCAGGCGTCCCCTGAGGTCCTGGCGACTCCACTTCTTCGAGCTGGGCGTCTTCGCACGATTCTGGGCCCCAGGACCCTCACAGATCGATCTGGCTGGAAAAATGGTGCAAAAAGATGGGGTCTACAGTCGGGCTGCTGAAACAAGGAACGCTAAATCAGGAACGAAGCCCCTCTGTGGCTGAAAAAAAGCCTGGGTGCACGAGAAGGGCTACAGGAACAACCACGGAAGGGCGTAAGGAACATCGAGCCCCTTTCCGAATCCAAACTGTTCCTGGTTTCAGCGTCTTGGCTGTAGGGCTCCCGACGTATTTTGGCGATGTTGCAAGCTTTCGCCACGTCGGATCTCAGGGCCTCTGGGGGATGGCCTGGGCGCCGCGGCCTCTTCGGAGCGTTCTGGACTGCTCTGGAGCAGACCTGTCGTCGTCTCAGTCCCGTCCGAGAAAGGCCAGCTCCCCTTCCTCCTCCTCCTCCTCCTCCTCCTCCTCTTCCTCCTCCTCCTTCTTCTTCTTCTTCCTACTCCTCCTCCTCCTCCCTCCTCCTCCTCCTCCCTCCTCCTCCTCTCCTCTCCTCCTCCTCCTCCTCCTCCTCCTCCTCCTCCTCCTCCTCCTCCTCGTCCTCCTCCTCCTCCTCTTCCTGAAACAACAGCGCTACGAGGACGTCGCCGTGCCGGTGGCGAGATCCCCCGCTTCTTGCCCCGAGGGCCTGCTGGCGGCCTCATCGGGCGCCGCCGCCGGCCGGAGGGACGCGGCCGCGTCGTCCGCGGGCGAGGCGGTGGGCGCGAGGCTCGTGACCTTGCTCCGCGCCCGCAGCACCATGTCGTCCAGCGCGCCCAACATCTCGTCCTCGGGGCCAGGCCCAGCGCGTCCTTTGGCAGCGTGTCCCACCGTGGGCCCCTCGTTAGTCACACGCCGGTCTTCGGCGGTCTCCTGACGGTCGTCGGCTTGCTTCGGCGGCCTGCGGCGCAAAGAACGGACGGCGACGTTCCACAGGGGGTCCGTGATCGAACGTCTGACCCTTGGCACGGCGGGCACCACCAGAACTTGGACTCGATGGCGTCGTGGGAGCACCATCGTCCTTGCGAGGCGGCAAATGGGGGGGGGTCTGGCTCGTCTTGCTGAGGGGGCGTCTTCTCTTCTCCAGCCTCTCCGCTCTGGCGGCGCGGGGCAACACCGCTCGGAGAGAGGCACCTCTCGGGAGAGAGCATGGCCCTCCACGGCGAAGAACCGCTCAGACGAAGCGACTGCACTCGCAACTCCCGAAAGCCTCTGGAACCCGACCGAAAGCCTCCCGAAGGCCTGCGGAAGACCTCAGCGGCCTGTGGAAGCCCCCGAGGACCTTCCGAATCCTCCACAGCCCTCTCCAAGGCGCGAGGGCCCCTGCGCAGCGAGAGCTCCTCCCTGCTCCTCCGCAGGTCTGGGTCTCCCGTGCCCTCTACCCACTCCCCCGACATCCCCGGAAGCTTCGGGGTGTCCTTCGGAGTCCTCTGGCGGCGCGCACCAGGGGGCAGAGGGGGAGAGGGGGAAGGCTTCTTAGAAGGAGGCTGCTTCTCAGAAGGCACGGGCCCTGCATCTACAGACAAGGCCCGCGCCTTCTAAGAAGCAGGGGTGCTTCTAGAAAGCTTTCCCCCCTCCCCCATAACCCCTCTGCGCGCGGCCGAGGATGCCCAGAGCTCGGCAGTCCCCCCAGGCTGGAAACGGACCACCTGCGGCCAAAACCAAAAAGAACGAGCACGGGCATTGAAAGACCACCCCTGTGGTCCGTCACTGCGTGCCTCGGCACGCAGCGCAGCGTCCTCCAGTCGTCTCGAGAGCAAAAGATCGAGGATTGCAGTCGGCGGCGAGCGAGGGGGGGAAGTGAGAAGGAGAAGGCCTTCTCAGAAGGCTCGGATTATTATGCGCTCCCATCGCACGTAAGGACCAAATCCCAAACAAAATAATTCGAGCACCCCGAGAAGTATCGAAACAGTGTCGAACGAGTATCTCCTCCCAGAGCCCGCCACGTGAAAACCCTCCAGGTCTGGTAATTTCTCGGTGCTCGAAATAATTTCTCGTGACTCAGGCTAAAGTAGGTTGAAACTTCATAAGGCTCGGAAGTGCCACGGCCATGTGAGAAGTTGTTTGAGCCTTCCCCGAAGGCGCGCGAGGGCTTCTGAGAAGTCCCGCCGCCTTCTGAGAAGGCCTTCTCCTTCTCATTTCCCCCTCTCGCTCGCCGCCGATGCAAGTGCTCTTAAAGGGGCCCAAGCCACAAGTTCCGGTCGCTACCACGAATTCCTGAGCGTTTCTGGGGTACCCCACGTGACTTCTCCAGAGGCCTCTGGAGCGTCGGCTGTGGGCTCACGTGCCCTAAGACAGCCGAAAGGGGCTGTGCTGGAGCTAGCTTGGGAGCCTCTTGGTATTTCCTGGAGGCCCTGCGCAAGAGGTCAAACTGGCTGATGAACACCATCGCATGACTTGAACTTCTTCTCCTCTTCGGTCTTGAGGGCGTCCGAGACAGGCCAAGGCCAGGAAGCTGGTCGGCTGGGACATTCAAGCGAGCAGGCGAGCCACCAAGCAAGCGAACGGGCGGCCCTTCACGGGCGGTTCGGGCGGGCAGGACATTGAAGATGGCGGGTCGGGCGGAAGGACTCTGGCGGGCGGGTCGGGCGGCTGGATACCGACATCGGACGGAGCAGGGGCTGGAGGATGAGAGGCAGGAGAGCCCAGAACCGAATCGACGAGTCGGATCGGCGATCGAAATGAATCGGATCGGCGGAGATCGGCTGCCAAGTCGGGAGAAGCCGAATCGGCAGAGATCGGCAGGCTTGTGGGCCTCCCTTGAGGAATCGGAGTCCGCATCGGAAGCCGAATCGAATCGGAATCGGAAGCCGTCGAGATCGAATCGAATCGACTCGATCCGGAGGAATCCGAGGAATCGAACTCGAAATCGAACCGAATCGAATCTTCGAGCCACGACAGGGCGCCAACGGCGCACCTCCACCGGTCCTGGCCAGGACCCTCCCTGGCCCAGGCTCGGAGCGCACGCCGTCCCAGGCCTGGCCAGGAAGGCGTCTGCGCCGAGCCCACGCCTGAGATGGGCCTGCCCAGGACCGGCGCAGCCTACAGCAGGAGCTCGACCACAAGACGCCTTCCACAAGAAGCCCAACCCTGAGACCCCAGGACGTCCATTGATGTTTTTGGTGCGGCCACGTCACGTAACGTCGCCCATAGCAGAAGCATCGAAGCCCAAGAAAAACCCTGGGCACCCTGGAAGCCAGCAGGGTGCTCATTGGCATATGGGTCCCCAGTGCAGGCATGTGGCGGCGCGCGCAGAGGGGGGTATGGGGGAGGGGGGGAGGTTTTTCTAGAAGCACCCCTGCTTCTTAGAAGGCGCGGGCCTTGTCTGTAGATGTAGGGCCCGTGCCTTCTGAGAAGCAGCCTCCTTCTAAGAAGCCTTCCCCCTCCCCCCTGCCCCCTGGCGCGCGCCGCCAGAGGACTCCGAAGGACACCCCGAGGCTTCCCGGGATGTCGGGGACGTGGGTAGAGGGCACGGGAGACCCAGACCTGCGGAGAGGCAGGGAGGAGCTCTCGCTGCGCAGGGGCCCTCGCTGCGCGGGGGGGCCCCTCTGCGCGTGGCCGAGGTCTGCTCTCGGCGCCCCCCGCGCACGGGCATGCCGACGTCGGACGGAGCAGGGGCAGGAGCAGCCGCAGAGGCGCAGCTTTCTGCTCTCTCTTGCCTCGGGCCGCGGAGCAGACTGAGAGGACTGATCCAGCTTCAAAAACACGCAGCTCTCCCAAAACACGTGATTTTTAGTCAGATCTGGTTTCAAAACCACGCAGTTCTCTCGCGCCAGGTGCAGAGCGAAGGGGGCGCCGAGCAGAGGCCGCAGAGAGAAGCGCCGGCGCGTGCCAGAAGTCGTGCCGTCGGAGGCTCCGAAGACGCGCGGGGGCGCGCCCGTTGCGCGCGGAGGGGTGTGCTGAAGCGGGCGAGGTACCGCCGCACGAGCGCCCTCTCCATGGGGGCCGCAGGTGGAGCCCCCGACGGGGGCAAGGTCCTCGCGAGGGGCGTGCCGGAGTGGAAGTGCGAGCACGGAGCTAACGCAGAGGGGGGAGGAGGAGGAGGATGAGGAGGAGGAGGAGGAAAAAAAGGATTGAGGAATGACGGAGAAGGAAGGAGGAAAGAGGGAGGGAGGAGGATAAAGGAGAAGCCCGGCACTGCGGATTCGAACACGAGGTTCGACGAATGACCCAACAACGCGGGAGGGTTTTTCAATTTAATATTTATTTGTTTAACAAAAAACAAAACAAAACAAAACAAAAAACGATGGAAAACACGGCGACCTTGGGCGCCCCAGGGTCCCTAGGGGGACAGATGGCACAAACATAAACGTGCGGAGGTTGGCGCGGACTTCTCGTATCGGCGCTGGACCCCCTCCGAAGCGTGCGGAGCGCGCCAGGGGCGGCGCTGGAGGCGCCGCCAGGGGTCCCAGCGCCGATACAAGAGGTCCTCACGGACCTCCGACAGTTCATGCTTCTGCTAGGTCGGGCGTGTCCTTCTGCAGGCGGACATGAAAAATAGCCACTAAATACTTCAGAATAACCAAAAGGGCACGAAAAAACACCCCCGGACTATTTTTTGACTATTCTGGAATGTTCCTCCTGTGGGGGGGGGGGGGCCATGCCCGACTTGATGCTTCCGTCGCTGTTGTTTCTTTGAAAGCACGGCGACCGTCCTCCGAGGGCTTGACGGCTCTGCTCCAGTCGACTTGCGGGCATCGAGCCAGAGAAAAATCGAGGCAGCTGCGCGCAAAAAAATCCACGCACATCGGCACAAGCCCAGGTAGAGTTAAGTCGGGCCTGTCCCCCTACTGGGGGATTTTCCACGAAAAATAAAAAATACAACAAAAAAAAAAAAAAAAAAAAAAAAATCCAAAAATAATGCAAAAATAGTCTGGGGACTATAATTTGGGGTATGCTTTGACCTTTCTGGGGCATGCTTGGGGTATGTTGTTATTTGTCGACGAGAATCCCCCTGTAGGGGGACACGCCCGACATATAGGCAGATCAGATGTCGTCCAAAATGCTCGCGTGAACCTGGAGGCTCTGGCGCGAGTCGAGGGACAGCAGGAGTCGCAAAGCCCTCACCGAGCCGCGGGCGCCCCGCGGGGACCCCCAGAGGTCCTCCCGCGCGACGCAGAGTGGGGCGCGGAGCTGGGCGCCCAGCGACAGCGCCACGGCCGTTCGCGGGGCTCGCCTGCCAGCGGGGGATCAGAAGCAATGGACACAACGAGACAGACAGACAGACAGACAGACAGACAGACAGACAGACAGACAGACAGGCAGACAGGCAGGAAGGCAGACAGGCAGGAAGGCAGACAGACAGAGACAGAGACAGAGACAGAGACAGAGACAGAGACAGAGACAGACAGAATCGCGCGGAAGAGGGTCCTCGACGTCGACTTCTGGGAAGCGCAGACAGACAGCTCCTGCGCAGTCAGGCAGCCTCCTGATCCGAGGAGGAGGGGAGGAGGAGGAGGAGGAGGAGGAGGAGGAGGAGGAGGAGGAGGCAGAGGAGAGGAGGAGGAGGCGGTAGGAGGGAGAGAGGAGGGGGCGCAGAGAAGGAAAGGGGCGGAGAGGCGGAGGAGGAGGAGGAGAGGAGGAGGAAGAGGAGGATGGAGGAGGAGGAGGAGAGGAGGAGGGAGGAGGAGGAGGCAGCAGGTGGGCGTAGCAGGAGGCGTTGTCGGGAGGAGAAGGAGGGGGGAGGAGGGGGCGGAAGAGGAGGCGGAGAGAGGAGGAGGAGCAGGGAGGAGGAGGATGGAAGCAGGAGGAGGAGGAGGAGGAGCAGCACGGAGGAGGAGGAGGAGAGGAGGAAGAGGATTCACCAAGTTAGGGACAGAGGCGCGGCGCTGCCAAAGAGGTGGGTTTAGGAGGCGCGACCCTCGCGGCAGGGAGGCGGGAGGGAGAGGCGAGAATGAGGAGGAAGGAGGGGGACGGGAGGGAAGAGGAAGAAAGAAGAGGGGAGGGGGGAGGAAGGAGCGAAAGGGAGGCGGGAGGAGTGAGGAGGGCTGAGGGAGGAGAGAGGAGGGAGGGGGGAGAATCTAGCCGGAAGTTTCACTTATTTCACGGTGAGATCCTTTTGGGGTTCCTGAGCTTTTGTATCGAGGAGGGAGGAGGTCGGTCGGACACGGCATCAGCGAGGTCGCTGTGCCTTCGCAGGTGACGCAAACCCCATGCGTAAAGGGGGGAACGCTTGTTCAGTTTTTTTTGTTCCGCCGACCACCCCAACGGAGGGAGGCCAGGCATTGAGCTCCCAGGCAGCCCAAAGCAACGACGCAAGAGCAAGAGAGGGCGGCGGAACGCGCGAAACGCAAAGAGCGAACAGTGCCCAGCTCAGGAACTTCAGTACGGAAAAAAGAAACACAAGCCAGCCAGCCAGGAGGAGGGGGAGGAAAATAAAAGAAGTGCAGAACGACGTGAACAAGTGCAACGCCATCAGGAATGCATGTGCAAGGCCATCATGCGCAGGTCTGGAGAACAACCGCTCGACACCAATCAGCATGAGCAATGTCATGGAAACCTCCGGGGGGACGCGGACGAATACCTTGAAGGCCGCCATTCGCGGATAGGCCAGTACATCCAAAATGGTCATCACCTGCGCAAACAACGGCCCTGACAGTTCACTCGCACGGTGCGTCGGGTACCAGAGCGATGTCACTATGCGGTAGCAGCTGGAATGAGCTATGACACTAACACCAGTCCAACTGACCATCAGGCGAAGATCAATACGCTCTGTTGAATCCAGCGGTGCTGAAGATCGCCAACCACAAGGTATGAATCACACAGCGGCGCTACTACTACAACTACTACTACTAATACTATTA